TAGACTCACTGCAACGGCGGTTCTCAGAATATGCATAGTACATGCGGCATGTAACTTATAAGCGTTCTCCCAATTCACACATCAACACAAATGGGAGGGCATAAAAGCATGGGGCAAGCATACTGTCTGTCGTAAGAGGCATACGTGCGCAATGGGCAGCTGCATACATGTATTTTTGGTATGTAAAGATAGGAGAAAATGCGACAATAAAGTGAGAGCAGCGCAAAGGATCCATTCTAAACCTCCTTGACCTTGACGGTACCACGAAGCAGACCAGTCTATCGGAAAGAAAGATAAGGTTATTAGAAGAGAAGGGGAAGAGAAGAGGGAAGGAAACATACCCGGCGAGCAGCAATAAGACCGACTTTCTGTCCAGGAACAGCGGAGCGGGCGATTGTGGAGGCTTTACCGATATGTTGATGATTACCACCACCGTGAGGATGGTCAACGGGATTCATAGCAACACCACGAGTACGGGGCCAGCTGGATAGAGAGTACATGGATCAATAATCGTTGTAAATACCTGAAGCGAAGTACGCACTTGTAACGCTTAGCCTTGTACTTGTGGAATGCACGACCAGCCTTGAGCAAAGGCTTGTCAATACGTCCACCTCCAGCAACAATACCGATGGTAGCACGAGCACCACTTGCGATGGTCTTCTTGGCGCCAGAGGGGAGACGGATGCGGGTCTTGCCATCATCGGGGGAGTGGCCGATAACGGTAGCGTAGTTGCCAGATGTGCGAGCAAGGGCACCACGGTCACCAATCTTCTCCTCGATGTTGCAAACGATGGTACCTTCGGGGCACTGAGAAACGGGGAGGACATTGCCGACGGCGAGGGTAGCCTTTTTGCCACAGTAGACGAAGGCACCGGTGTGGAGACCCTCGGTAGCAATGAAAGTTTCTTTGCGGAGCTTGTAGCGGTAGGGGTCACGGAAGACGACACGGGCGAGGGGAGCACCACTGTTCGGGGATTAGGAAATAATAACTTGTTAGAGACGTTGGAACGTACCGGCCGGCGTCGTGGATGATCTCCTTCACAATACCCCGGATGTAACCATTGCGCTCAGCGAAATCAAGGTTACGCAGGCGGGCGGGTTGCTTGTTGTGGTGCGTGTGCGCCTTGAACTGTACGACACGAAATGTTCTGAGTTAAGGAGCGAATATTTCTGCAAGTTCCAAGACGACGTACAATGGCATGCGAGCGCCTCTGTGCCCTAATAACCCGACCCATTGTATTTTCTGAAAATACCAGTCAGTAAGGACGTTCGAATGGGTGTTGGAGTGCACAGAAAACCGAAATGCGGAATTGTGGCTGAGGTGTATTCCATTAACTCTCCATCCGACAGCACCCAAGTCCATCCATCCATATCTCCACGGATTTCGACGCCGATTTCGCTGGAAGAGCATGCAGGATGTTCGGAGAGCTAGCCAGACGAGAATTGGAACGGGGAAAGAGCATACTCACATCCTAAGGTGTCTTGAGGAACGTTTGGTGCGGGATCCTCTCACCTCTTGCGAAACTTGGGCACAAGCCAAATATGCGCAAAGTGATGAGGTAAGCGTGTGCGTCCAAAAGGCGTCAGGCACGTAGCTTTATACCGTCATCGAGCTCATACCCACCTTTTCGTCGTCGAACATGTCCATCTTACCTCAAGAAGTGTTAGATGTGATTATTGACCAACTCAGCGACGATTTACAAATGCTGTCTGATTGTTCCCTCGTTTGCCGTCGCTGGACTTCTAGATCACGCTATCACCTCTTCTACGACATAGATCTGAATAATGGGCCCGATATTCTAAATTTCCATAAACTCATAGCCTCCTCAGATAGTCTGTCTGTATTTCCGAAATTCCTGCATATGAATGTCGATGTATTCATCATCGAATCGGATTTTATGGCTGCCACCATGCTTGCTGCCACCATAACGGATATACTCTACCTTCTCCCGAATCTTCACTCTCTATCATTAGAACATGAATTTCAAATTGACGATGAAAGGTTTTTGTGGACCGAATCGACGGCCATACCTTTCCAGCATGCATTAACTCATGCTCTGCGGCTTCCTACTCTCACCAGCTTAGCTCTCCTTGGTTGGAATATAACACCTCTCTGCCTCGCATCCATTCTTGCCCATGGACAGGCACTTCAACGGTTAGCTTTAGAGCGTGTATATGTAATGGACGCCCAGGATGAGTCACCCTTCTGTAGCCCAGCACCGAACACACTCTTAGATATCCCGGTTAAACCTCGAATCCATAATTTGACAGATCTGATGTTTAGCATGGATTTACTAGATTCCAACCAAAAAACTTTCGACCGGCTTCTTTCATCGAACTTTGATTTTCCCTTGGACAAGATCCGTAGACTGACGCTGGAAGGATCTCGGGGGTTTACGCCGGAGGCATCGTCATTCATCTCACGGATTGGCAGCTCACTGGAGGAGTTGGTACTAAGTCCTTGCAACCGTCAGTAAAAATATCTTCTCATTACATGTCACTTACATTTTTTTTTCTCAGTGGCCTTAAACATGTCTACCCTACAGGTGGCCGATGCGACGTCACTGCATACAATCCATTTCGAATTCCGACACTGCGTGTTCAAGCACCTACGCAACCCAACGGCAGAAGGCGGCGTAAACATCTTTGAGTGGATGTGTGACCTTCTATCGACTATAAGGGAGTCGAATAGTTTGGAGAATTTAATCATCATACCTCTATATTTCCGGATTGGCTCCCGATTAGACTTCTCGATAACCGACGAGGAAGACGCTGGTTGGAAGGCACTATGCACCCTACTCACTACCACAAAGTTCATGAGCCTGCGCCATCTCGATATAAAGCTTGATTGCGGCGAAACGGCGGGAAAGCCATATGGCAATATTTTGAATTCTATTATGCGGTCCCTACGCTCGACTACAGATATCGATGTTTGCATTTCCATTAAAGGGAATACTTTACCAGACCACAACCAACGCCATTGAGGCGTACTTCCATGTGACATATATCAAGACTGCCGGTAACACCAGACCTGAGACTTTTGCTACTAACTCCAGATAACTTCGACACGGTCTTGCTCAGCAATGCAACTCTTGGCAAATCTACTCACGTATGGTCTTACTCTTGATGATCCCACTCTCTCCCAGCCTGTATCTTCCGGTAACGAAGGCTTTGCAGATTAATTGACATCACCGTATAGACTCGGGCCTATCCCCTTCGACATTTGGACTGCTCAGTAGAATAACATTCTTCCGATGATTTGATTCCAGATTCCCCATGCTTCAATTATGAATTTCTTATGTAACGGTATGGCTAGAGGCAATTGACCTATAGTTTATTGTAGGAGCGAGAGTATCAGACAGTTGACTCATCATACACCTTCGACGTGTACACTATACTTAGTGCATACTGCATTTTGCTGAAGTGTATATCACAGCTACGCACGGCGGCTTTTCCTCTCGCAGCGAGTGAACACACAAACATGCCTATTTCACACACTCCGATGAGTCTCTGGGTCTCACTATATGTTTTACATCAACTATAACATTTCAAGTCGTTTAATCAATAAAAGAAGTTCCTATAACCGAGCCATTCCCCAAACTTGCTGCTCATTCAGACGCTGAAATGGCCAATGGCCATGGGCGCCTTCGATATTTGGACTCTTTAATAGAATATCCTATTCCGACGATTTGATTTCCAGATCCCCCAGTACCACCTCATTGAGGTTTTTTTTTTCAGCGAAAGAAGCTCCAATAACTGAGCCATCCCCCAACTTGCTGCCCATTCAGAGGTTGATATACTCCATACCTTGTTATAATGAAGAGCAGCATTTCACATCTAGAAACTATTGAATATGTTATTAATCTTTGAAGCTAGGAAATGCATCCTTTCATAAATAAGGAATTGAACGTGGTAAGGGTGACTTCATTTCAGCTCTGATCTGTACCGCCCGCCTAGCTCAATCGGATAGAGCGTCAGACTCTTATCCAACTAGTGCGGTGATCTGAAGGCTGGGGGTTCGACCCCCCCGGTGGGCTATCATAGGACAGGAAACAGAATTTTTTTGCTTTTTGGCGCCGTACGACATCGTGACCGAGAGTAAGTTAACGCTCCAACTGTTAGTTTACCTACTGGTTAGTATTTTCGTTTAGTTTACGATGTTCTCGAACTAGTAAACAGATAGTATACAGCTAGTGTAGAGTAAACGGAAGATTGCCTGGCCGGAATTACTGCCGCTTCAATGCTGATATTTATTCAGTTCCTAGGCCACCAATTAGCTACATAGCTTACCTAGGCTAGCTTTATTGTCACAAGATTGCGAGCAGCTATTTTGAGTACAAGTCGGGGCTGAAGCTGCAGTACATCTCCACATCGGAGCAATATCATCTTCATGTTCATGCTGATGAAACACCTGCTTTGATGAATTAAATCCAAGTGTTGTCCCCCAACGTCCGAGAAGCCATCAAAGAGAGCAAATATATGACATATACAACTTGTTGTTGTCCGGAGCATAGATCATCAATCAGAACCAAATGCGCACCAGGATGCAGACTGTCGAAGAGATGTTTTGTGTTCGACATGGAGTTTGTCAGCCCTGATATTCTGACGCAAACGCCAATTATATGTAGCTCCTCATTACTCTCATAAAAATAACTTTTTCTGAGCTCTTCTCCTACCATTCACTACCGTTTAAAACATTTATAACTTTTTCCGCTTAGCTTAGGAACTTCTGCATGTAGGAATTAGTAACCCAGACATTATATATTATTCTCGCCAAGATTTGTTCAGGATTTTCTTATACATACTCCACCTTCGATGTCTTTCTTGTTTAGTTAATTAATGTAATGGATGGCACCAGCTTTGAGGTGTACATGTGGGTGGAATTGTGATAATTTGTCTCGGATATTGATATTCTATCTTTATATAATTATAAGAAACTAATTGAGCTTGCGCCTGTTCTGCGCGACCCCCGAGGCTTCGTCGGAGGCTTTACGTGAATTGCCCGCCTAGCTCAATCGGATAGAGCGTCAGACTTTTAAGGCGGATTATTTGATTCCGTTGAACATTCAGTACATCTGAAGGCTGCGGGTTCGACCCCCGCGGTGGGCTACTAGTACTATTTTGGATACCTCCCAACAGCTTTTTGGCGCCAGGCGAACGAAGACGCGCAAAATGAACTGTGCTGAAGGTGGCTCACACAGCATTGTAACCCAAATATAGCACATGTATTCTACCCTGAATCTTGACATCCAGACTCCGTTATTCTAATGCTTTCGAAGCAACCAATGGAAGCGATGATATTTTACAAAGATTAAACGTGGCTGGATGCAGTGCCAACGGCGGTGATGCGCTCTTCGCTCAATTAATCACCGCCCGCCTAGCTCAATCGGATAGAGCGTCAGACTCTTATCCAACTAGTGCGGACAATCTGAAGGCTGGGGGTTCGACCCCCCCGGTGGGCTACAGTGATACTTTTTTGCGGTAGTCTACGAGGCTGGAGGTATAGGCACAATTTTCTTTTCGAGTTTTCGAAACCACAGAATTTTCTGGAGGTTCGCTGAAAAACCAAGACAACAACTGAATATATGGACATAGATTTATGGCCATATGACGAGGTCGTTAATGTTCTCGTCGTGTGGACTTATCCAACAATGGTTGTGAAATTGAGAAATTTATGGTGGTGTGTAGCATACTCGAGTACGCCTGCAAGAACTCGACAGTTCTTATTCCAATTGAATGGTGGCGTTGTTCACTCGGCACCGTGACATATCAGGGATTGGCTGCTTTCTTGAAAACCACGAATCTATCAGTCTGCAATGGACAATGTTGAAGATGTTAACGAAGATGCCAGGTGGTGCAAGGGCCGCATCTCACCAATCTCATGAAAGCCGGGAATCAGGCATCTTCAAATACATTTTCTTACCATCCTATTGGTCCTTGACGATGAAAAATGGCGGTGAGATATAGCCATCTGTGCAAATGAAGGCTAAAAGAAGCTTCTTGGATACTATAAATTATGATGTATACGTGGAAGTAAGGCGAACGTGTTCTTGGACATATCCCTGCCAGTCATGGAAATATTACGACGGCGCGCTCAGAACGTGGTGTTGCATGATCTATGATCCTTTGCACGGCTTTTACTCCCATAAAGCCTAAACATAGACTACCCATTCAACAGGCGGGGCTTGTCATAAACTGCCAAGAATAGAGACAGCGAACGGCATCGAAGTCGAGGATCAGGATTTTGGACGCTAGAAGTTCAAGGTGCTATCCAATTCATCTTTCGTTCAATGAATGTAGCGTCTGTCTTGTTGAGATGTCATGCTTCCCTTCACTTGAATGAATGGCTGCCTGAAGACGCTGATTCCGCTGATTAAACGCCTGCTTCGACCTGCATCTTGTAGACCTTTGATCTTTCCTGCATGTCACTTGATATCATGAATGTCTTTGTTCCTGGCCCAATGGGGAATATATTGGGGTCAGTTGGGAATGCTGCAGGGCTTGCGGCCGCGGACAAGAAGCGAGGGTTCTGCTTCGCGAGATCGGACCTTTCATAGTAATAGCGTTGTGATAGAGGAGAAATAAGCGTGGATATGCCCATGTTGGGATTTGCAGATATTTTCGCCTCCTGAGGCATATCACTATAGTTCCCTGTGCGGCTGTTCACGCTACTATGCAGAGTGTCAACATATAGGAGGTGGATGATAAAGATAGCTCACTGGTGGAAAGAACGCAAAGAGCAAGAGCAGAAACGTGCGTAGTTACGTCACTACTTAACAAACGGGTGATAAGCAGGGAAAGTCCACAACATTGAGTTACGTGGTTATGCCATGACACTAGTAATCGCACGTTCTAAAACATCCATCCCTGCTTTCAAATGAGGTATGAGAAAAGACGGAAGAATTCGAACCTGCTTGTGTGAGATATTTGAAGTGGTATTGGTAAACGCTTCGAAAACGGGGTTGGAGGTGGGACGATTGTCGAAGTGACGAAATGTCGAGTGCGCTACATGCGATGTCGGTCAAAACTTCGGAAGGGATTGTGGTGGATTCACACTCATGATGAGAGCAAAGGAAGTTGCCGATGGAGGTGGCTGTAAAGGGGGGTGGCAGCACGTGAGATGATGATTGGTTTCTTCGTTGATCGTCCCACAGCAACTTGACTATACTCGAATTCTTTCAACGCTTTCCTCGACTATTTTACAGCATTTCTACTTGATTCTGCAGGCATACGCTGCTATTAACTTGTATCTGACTTTCTTGCATGCTCGCCCTTGTGCATCCATTCAACCCATCGCCTGATGTGCCCCATCGACCGGTGCCATCCCGCAAACCTTCCTCCTCACAACTCCTTTCCTCCTCGTCCTCCGTAACCCGTCCACCCCCTGCTACTCTGGCGAATCACCCACCAATCCACCGCCACCAGCCTGCTCCAACGGCTTCAGCGGTCCATTTTCAGCCTCAAAGGCCACCCTCTTCATCAGCAGCGCCAGCGGCTTCGTCTTCAAGGCCGACACCACCGCCGCGGTCTGCAACACCCACCCCGCCACCACCAGCTCCATTCGACATCCATTCTTACCCTTCAACTGACCTACTGAAGCTACTCGCCTCCCTGCTTACCCAAATTGCAGCGACGAACGACCACCTCGCCCCTAATGCATCTCCTTCACCTGCACCCCACACCCCGCCAATAGACACCCATGCCCCGATCTGGCTGTCTCTCACCTCCGCCTCCCGCTCAGCGATCTCCACTCCAGCGAGCACCCTCACCTTTCACGCACGCAATATCCCCACCATCACCCTTGAGGCGTACCTCCTGCGCATTCTCAAGTACTGCCCGACGACGAACCATGTCTTTCTCAGTCTGCTGGTCTATTTTGATCGCATGTCTAAACTGAGCCAGGATGCCACCACCAGAAGCTTTGTTATCGACTCGTATAACATCCATCGGCTGGTTATTGCCGGAGTGACAGTGGCGAGTAAATTTTTCAGTGATGTGTTTTATACGAATTCGCGGTATGCAAAGGTGCGTGATGTGTTATTTATATAGTAGGCGTATCTAACCTTTGTCGAAAGGTCGGAGGTTTACCACTACCAGAACTCAACCAGCTCGAATTGCAGTTCCTCCTCCTAAACGACTTCCGCCTCGTCATCTCCACCGCCGAGATGCAGCGGTACGCCGAGCAGCTGATCCTCTTCTCGCGCTCGTCCGGCGTCGTTGTGTCCACACCCCTGCCCGTTCTCTCCCCTTCTATAACACCCTCCGTCCCAACCAGTGGCTCAGCAGTCGCAAGCGTCCCCGCACCTTCAATCAATGGACACCATGCACCGACAATAGCCAAGAGCTCGAGTACGTCGGCCCCAATGCGGGCAATGGGTGCGATTGATGCGTATGGCGGGCAGGTGCCGGAAGACGGTGCCCGTGTGGGGTATGCGAACCGGGAGGGTGGCGTGTTGATGAATTACCAGGCACAGTCGACTCCCAAGTCAAAGGTCGTCGAGGAGGACTGGGACGCCCAGTCTACGGCGTCGTCATCAGCAGACGACACAGAAACGGAGACGGAGGGATCGACGACGGACGACGAGCCGACGATCAGGCCCGCACATTCTGAAAGACGTGGGAGTATGTGTTCTGAAAGGAGTGAGTGGAGTGAGAGTGGTGACGCCGACGAGAAGGGCCGACCAGGATCGACGGAGCGGAATGGGCGAATCGCAAAGGAAGAGGACGACGACGAGAGTATGGCTTCGGATTCGGAAGTAGAGGGCTATGTGGAAGGGGATAAGACTCCAGATCGGCTTGGGCGAGGGAGAGGCGTGAGATCAAGAGTGGACGATGACCATCGGATGGGAAGCCCTTGAGTAGGCGGGCTGGATTGGACAAGGCGTGTTTGCGAAACCTCCTCCTTTTTACCGACTTCCCCCTCCTTCAACTTCCCGACCATCCTGCTCTCTCCATCTCCTGCCGTTTTCACCCCTCTAATCCACCTCCCCAAACTGTTGGGGTGACTCTACGCCCTTTCCTACCACCTACCATTCCCGCTGTCGAAAAGTTATCCACGCGCCATCGATACCCCACAATTCCAAGCAATAGAGCACTGTTATGTAACAGAAGAAGAAGCACGGAGTGTACGAAATAAAGAAAAGAAAAAAGAAAAACCAAAGTTATAGGTGCAGTTGTAATGGTGTTGTTGTCCCTAACCTCCCCCCGCCTTTCCCCATCCGCCCCTACCTACCTACTCGCTGCCCCCTTTCCCTCTACTCCTCCGCCTCGTTCTCGACTGGTTCAGCCGCCCACACTCCTTCCTCTCGAATCCTAGCAATAAACCCTCTCTATCCTACACTACACACCCATATACAGTATAAATTAGTGCTCACCATCTCTGCAGTCGAACCTTCCCCTTTCTTGTTATCGCCCACCGCCCCGTGTGTTGCGTGTTGGACTATAACGGTACTTACAAGTTACTGAATTCTTACTTCTTTTTACCATTATATGTATCCTTCCTCTTCTTTTCCCCTTCTTCACTGTCACTCTCAAGATTTCTTGTCATCATCGTATTAATACGCACTCTCCCTCCCTCAAATCGACGCCGTCGAGGCCTTGAATTTGGGGGAGACGACTGGTCTCTCGTCTCTCGCACTCTGTACGCTGGAATACTTAGCACTACATGTTACATGTCCCCTACGCAAGCACGCATGAATAGAATATATATTTCTTTGTCTCCTTCGCAAGCTTCGACGTTTCTCTTGTATCTTCTGGCATTAGTAATTACAACATAGTTTCGTTGCATTGAAGTGGTACTCCAATAGTGGCTTGTACCATGGCATGACGTTTCACAAGCTGGAATGGCCGAGTCGTTAAGGCGAGTGATTTGAACTTGTTCAAGTATCACTTGGTGTTTCACCGCGTAGGTTCAAATCCTGCTTCCAGCGAATCTTTTGCTTTGGAGGGTTAAATGGTCTCGGAGATTTGAAATCGACAAATACAGAAAACGGGATCACCTTCAGACTTAGTGATGCGAAAGTTCGGTTCGGTTCGGTTCTTTGACAATTTTCTCTGAACCTAGAACTGGACTTTGGGTCCGGTTCAGGTATTTTCCCGAACT